TTTAACCGGCAGTATATCCACCTGTTAAACGATAACCGGAGGTTGAGATATTGGCCCTGAGAGTATCAAATAAGACTCGGGAGTATCACGGTACTTTTGAACATCAAATAGTATCAAAAAAAGTACCATCGTACAAATTTGCCATCCCTGAAAAGTAGAATAGAATCCAAGGCGAATTCAAATAAGGCGGTGGTAGTTCTGCAACATGTATTTTGTTTATGCATTTGGTTTACGTAGATGTCAAAAACCATAAGTACGGCGAAATCATTTGATGAAAAATTTTTGTAAAATGTTTATATTATATTAAAAAATAAAGATATTAAAATTTGTGAGGAAAATATATTCTGAATTGAATAATGTTTGTTTCAAACGAAAAATTCTATTCCGGCAGCATAATTTGCAAAATTTAAGTGAGTGCCTGAAGTTAAGTTAAACTTAATTTTTTGTGAAAAATAAACATAAAAAAGTACATATTCATGAAAATATTATATTACGAATGAATGAATATTTGTTGCGAATGGATAATTCTACTCCGGCGGAGTAATTTTCAATATTTGGCCATAATGTAGCAGCCGCTGGACAGGTAAATACCTCGCATGGATTTTGTTATATAAAGCGTTCCGGAACAGACTTTTTTTAGTTAATCTCTTTATCTACATAGTGTATATATAAAACAATATTGTTTAATTTGTTAACATTTAATAGATTTCAAAATTAAGCCATAACGTAGAAGTCAGCTGCCGCCAGCCGGGTAAATACTTCATATGCGTTTCTTAATATTAAGTGTTCCGGAAGAGATTTTTTAGTTAATCACGTTATCTACACAATTTTAATATAAAATATAAAACAATATTGTGTAATATGTTAACATTTAATAGAAAAAACATATTTTTCTTAAATAACATATTTGTATACATACCAATTTATGCCATTATTTATATAAAATTATATTTGTTTACGAGATGCTTGGTATTTTCAGATGTTTTACATAAATATTTCAAAATATTAACGAAGTTTTTCTCCGTTTAACGGACATTTTTAAATATAAAAATGTAAACAATAACAAACTTTGACAGCTACGTAAACCAGGCGAATTAAGAAACAAATTATCAGCTGATTGAATAACACCACCTTATACGAATTCGCCTTGATCAACCACAATATCGCCAACCATATATATTTGTTCATTTCGTTTAAGGATAATGTGTTCTAAAATACAACTCTTATAATTTGATGGATTGATTATAAAATTTATGAGGAACTACAAAATATAGAATTTGAAAATTAATACAGATTTCTTGAAAAACTATAAAATTTATTTATAAAATTTATTTAGATTTATTGGTTTTAATTTTATGTTGGTCAGTATACAAATAGAAGATGAGAAAACTCATCTTTTAGAATAGGAAACAAGTTGGAAAGTATATTCGGACCCGGCCGACTATATGATATCCTACACCATGGGTATATTTTATGTTCAACATAAAGAAACGTTTATGTTGAATTTTAACTTAATTCCTATGTATTTATGCAATTTATTGATGAAAAACTAAATTTCTAAAAGAGGCTTTATATGGGAGTTAGGGTCAAATATGGGCCTATACTCAACAAATTGGGAAGAGGGATATAATTTTATATAAAGGTTAGTTATGCTAAATTTCGTCGCGATACTAATAGTTATAAGTAAATTTTTGGACGTTTAAGATATTTTTTAAAGGGGGGTTTGTATGTGGGCTAGGGTCATTTATTTTATCAAAATATCTTTAAAATTGTGGCCTGTAGCTTGCGCACAAGGTTTACATGGACAGCCAGCCATGCGGACAGACGGACGTAATCAAATAGAAGTTTCTTCTTCGGGTCTTCCATTCTACTTTGTTATTGCCTTATACCAATAGTGTAAGCGCAAAAAGTATAAATAAGTCGACTTGTATTCTATTTTTTTAAATACGGATGAAATTCCATTTGATATTCCATACGTAAAGCCGTACGTAAAGTCTCATAGTCTAATACCCCATTTACACATACACGAAATCTAATACTTATGAGATTTCGAGCCAAATCTAGTTGATTTTAACTAGATTTCCAATACAAAACAAAATCTACTTCGTAACTAGATTTCGTTAAAATCTACTCGAAATCTAATAGTTTTAAGTGATGCAACTCTGTTTTTTCCTAAATAATACTAAAAAATACGACGCTACACAAGAAAAACGAAACAAACAAAAAAAAATTAAAATGTCAACAAAATTTTAATAAATTAAAAAACATGAAGGAAAAGTTTATTAAAAATAGAATGTAATGTTATTTTTAAATATATAATTTTTTATTATAAATAAAATGGTAATAAATATCCCATTTTTCCTTCTTATATTCCATATCAGACACAATTTCAAGAAATATTAGAAGAAATGAAATCTTCCTAAATGCCAAAAATAGTAAAAAGATTTTAAATGAAATTTACTAGATTTCGTGTATGTGTAAATGGGGCATAAAAGCACTTTAATAAGATGATGACCAAGGCGAATTCATATAGGGTGATGTTATTCAATCAGCTGATAATTTTTTCCTAATTCGCCTGGTTTACGTAGCTGTCAAAGTTTGTTATTGTTTACATTTTTATATTTAAAAATGTCCCTTAAACGGAGAAAAGCTTCGTTAATATTTTTAATTATTTATGTAAAAAATCTGAAAATACCAAGCATCTTGTAAACAAATATCATTTTATTTAAATAATGGTATAATTGGTATGTATACAAATATGTTATTTAAGAAAAAAATTTTTTTCTATTAAATGTTAACCCTTTCAGGTTCAAAAATATTTTATGTCTAGAAATAAACTTGAAAACTTATATTTAAGATAATTTGAGTATGCTGAATCCGGGAAAAATAATATTTTTTGAGTTTGAGTTTTCCCTAGTGAGTTATAGAAGGTCAAAGTTAAACGTCGAATATATTCGACATTCGAAAAGCAGTCTCCAAAAAGTACCACCAATATTTTTTATGAATTTTTTTTTTTGGAAAATGTCTTCTTAAACTTCTTTCAATACAATACAATTTAAATCTGCATAGTCCGATCTCCTAAAATAAAATTTTTTTGGCCATTAAATGAAGCTGTTTTTTAAACGTTGCTAAAAAGCACTTTTTAAAAAGTAGTCATAAGTGACAATTTCTTAAAATCTGATTTTTAAATACTTTTAAAATACGGAAGATCTTTCAAAATCTCAATTATAAATATAATAAAGTCTTAATTTTTATCTAAAAGAAACAAATTAAAACTAAAGTTAAATATTATACCCAAAAAATGCTTCAAAACAGAGTCTATTGTAATGTCGAATATATTCGACAAGACCGCCGGAGTAGAATTATCCATTCGCAACAAGTATTCATTCATTCGTCATATAATATTTTCATGAATATGTACTTTTTTTGTTTTTTTAACTTCAGGCACTCACTTCAATTTTGCAAATTAATCTGCCGGAATAGAATTTTTCGTTTGAAACAAACATTATTCAATTCAGAATATATTTTTCTCACAAATGTTAATATTTTACAAACATTTTTCATCAAATGAATTCGCCGTACTTATGGTTTTTGACATCTACGTAAACCAAATTCAAAAACAAAATACATGTAAAATGTTGTTGTTGCAGAACTGCCACCACCAAGGCGAATAGATTAAAAGGTGAAGTCATTTTATTTTGCGGCGAATTCATTAAATTTTTTATATATGGAGTTTGACAGCGTCGGTTTTGAGAGAGATTTTTTTTATATGGAGTTTGACAGCGTCGGGCTAAATTTCCATGAACAAAAAAACAATCAGCTGTTGAAATGACTTCATCTTATTAGTTTCGCCTTGGCCACCACCTTATCTGAATTCGCCTTGACGGACAGCTACGTAAACCAGGCGAATTAAGAAAAAAATTATCAGCTGATTGAATAACACCACCTTATATGAATTCGCCTTGGGTACGCACTGATGTCAAAAACAATAATTACGGCGAATTTATTTAATGAAAATATTTTGTAAAATTTTTATATTTGTGATTAACTAACAAAATTCTGTTCAGGAACCGTCCGGCGGCGGCTGACTACAACGTGTAAATCATAAAAATTACTCCGCCAGAGTAGAATTTTCCACTTACAACAAATATTCTTTCATTCGGTATATAATTTTTCCATAAATTTTTACATTTTTATGTTTATTTCTCCCAAAAATATTAATTTTACATAATTTTGGGCACAAACTTAAGTTTTGCAAAATTAATCTGCCGGAGTAGAACTTTTCATTTGGAACAAACATTATTCCACTTAGGGTATATTATCTTCACAAATTTTGCAAAACAGCTGTTTTGTTTATGTTTGTCATACGAAAATATCAGACGATATGTACATCTTTTACAGATGGAAATTTTGACAGTACATATGTAAAATACATGTCGTCTAATACCATCTTAACTATTGGAATACATATTTTTTGATTTATTTGTCAGCTGCTTGAAATTTTTCTCTTACAGCCAATTCGCCTTCAAGTGCAGGCACAATGTCAAACTACATATAAACAAAATACAACCAATTCGCTTGGTATTCTGAATTCGCCGATGTCACTACCTTATAAAATTAATATACCTTGGTTAAGATAATGTTGTTTGCACAAAATAATATTTTGAATTTTTTCTCTGTGTGCTACTTTGGACATTTACTACTTTTGGAGCAGTTACATCAATAAAAATAGTACAAATATATCAACTCTGAAATGCGGCCGTTGACATTTCTATTAAACAGACCTCGATATGTATACACATGTGTATGTGTGTGTAAATTCACAGTTGCCAGATCATTAGTTTAAAATATTCCATAAAAACTTATAAATTAATACAGAAAAAACCCTGTACAGGTATCATGGACTTTATTAGATATTATAGAAATAAAAATGTATCATACTTCATATTTTCACACATTAAATTTTAATTGTATTGTAAATCACATTCAAATTTCTCGACCAGTACTACTAGTCTGGCAACTCTTGATGTGTGCAACAAAAAGCAAAATGGTTGTTCTTTATTCTGAAGGAGGAGGAGAAATATAATATAAAAAGAAAGAATTGAAAATACACCACAGTCCAGTCTAGCAATTATTGATAAAAATTTTAATAGATATTTTATTTGTGTTTACAACCGTTTGTGTTTTTAGATATAATTTTTAAGAGGTAATCATAATAAAACATTAAGTATAAATTGACAAAGCGGCTATAAAGTTCGATTTTCAATTTGCAGCAAAGTTCGCTGAATTCTACAGCAAATGTCATCAGGCGTGTCAGATCAGGTAATTGCCATTGAATTTGTGTATTTAGTGGTGCCGAAGAGGCCATCAAACTCACAAATATATAAAAAAAGAATAAAAAAAGTCTTTAAATCATTTTAGTTGCAAATTTTTATAAATTTTACGATATTATATTGTTTTTTTAATTTTTTTTAGATGAAAGTACCCGGAAATACAGGTAATGTAGCCGCAAATCTCCTTCGATACCACTGTCGACGTAATTGTAATTTTTTTGTTGATTGAACTGTGCCAGTTCAGAGTGTGAGAAATATATTTGACCTGTGCAAAATGAAACAAATTGCGAATAATTTTATTTTTATAATTTATAAAAAAACTCGCGATATTTAATTTTTTTTTTTTCATAAAAAAATGTCCAATAGTAATTAATAATATACAAAATAATTTTATGGTTTTGTTGTAATGTAAGATACTTTATCGTAGGAATTTTTTGTTTTACATTCAAGTTTTTGTATGTATTCTTCATTTCTTCTTAAATTTCTTTTTTCTTTATTTAGCAAAAAATGTTGAGGAGCGCAATATACCATGGAGCCAGCAAGTGGATGAAGCTGCTTCTTATGAAAATTTAGCTTCTCCGATCAACGAAGAAAATTCCTCTGGTAAGTTTATCATTTATTTAATACATTTAACAAATATTTCAATTATTATTTACTCTTTTTTTTAATAATCTTTTTTTCGTTTTTTATTCGTTATTTTCAGCTGCCAATCAAAGCTCCTCTTCTATGCAGTTTCAATATCCACCATTCAATGCAAAAGAGAATCAAAGCAACTCTGCACCATGGGGCAATTATAAATCTCGCAAATCAAGCACTCAATCTTCAACATCTAATTATGGTAAGAACAACAATTGTTATCTCTATATTTTACTACAAAGATATTTAAATTTAAAGAAATTTTTATTTAATCTTTGAATCTTCTAATAATTTGAGTTTTCTAAAAAATTGTTAGAATCCTTATCATCTGCATATTATTTTATTAGCTTTATGTTCAAATATAAATTTGTGTTTTCGAACATAATATTGTAAATGTCTACATATTTACCACATTTCGGCATGAAACGTACGAATATCAAATTCCCTACAAAAAATTTTACATTCGTATCAGTTTTCTCGGAGGCTTGTACCTTATTAAAAGGGGCATGATACATACCATCGTTATAACATATATGTTTGGCACTTATTGAAGTATTTTTTTATTTACAACATATTTTACAAATAAATAAAAATAATGCGCTTATATTAGTTTATAAATATTAGGGAAGTGACGAATGCTCACATTCGAATATACGAATTATTCGCTTAATTTTTTACATTCGCATTTGCATACGCTAAATCTTAGCGAATACTATTTCTTAGAAAATTTTAAGATAATTTAAATGTAAACACATTTAGCGAATGAAAATTAAAATTTTCTGCGCTGTATTTTTGTTTTAGTTGTATATAATGTAATGTGTAAATGACGTTACAACTAGATTTTTCATCGAAAAATGTATGCATTTTTATAATTTCTATTCAATTATAAATTAAAATCAATTATTCGCTTTCGCATTTTCATTCGCTAAACTGGCATTCGCAACTCCCTAGTTAATATTTTGGTGATGTTCTGTTTATAAAATTTAACAATTTTAATATTATTGGGATATAGGCCGTCAATATAAAAAAATATTTTATTTGAATAATTTAGTTTCTTTTCCGCGAGCATAGATTTAAATTGTTCTGTATAAGTTTCATTCATTTTGAGAATTGCAAATTCAGTATCAATATTGATTTTTTTGTTGGCGGTCTTTCGGGTTTTAATGGAATTGGTATTTTATACGAATTTAGATGAGTTGTATTGGGAATGGAACTTTTATTTTGGATCAGCGCAGGATTCAGGTCATACTAAAAAGTCTCATGGAGTTCTTGATCTGAAATTGACCTCGATGACGAATTTTGTTAAAATTTTTGTCATTGAAAAAATATGCTTTATTTTTGACATCCAAATATCTGATTTTTACGCTTCTAAAAATAAGATTAGATGTAGTTCAAAGTTGTCAAAAATTTACAACATCCCTCCAATGATACTCTAATGTAAATTTCAGTGGTTTTTCATCCGAATTTAAAGCACTTCGGGTTACAAGTTGTGATGACAATACTACATATTTTTCGACACTGTTCGCTGGGTAGTTAAATAGGGAAAATAATTTCCCTCATTGTTGGTAAAAAAGTTGTGTTAACTGAATGTATTATCTTTAATGTTCAGAAACTCAGTTTCCTGTACGTAATTCTTAATAATTTTCCAATCTGTGTTCGTGGGCAATATTATATCCAGAATAATATCGCACCCAAGATATTTGGACCCAACTTCGACGAATGCCTGATAGTGGCATAGAAAATGCTCCAGAGTTTCACGTTCCTCCCAACATGCACTACATTCGTCTGAATCTGCACGTCAAATTTTGTATAGCTGTGCCCGTAATCCTGTGTGATCACTCAGAATACGTAAAATCATACTCAGACTTGCTCATTTTGAGGAGATTTCTACTCTTGCTCTCATTAGGGTCACCCCATTGGATATTTGTGGTTCTACCCACTGTTTCATTATTCCATTAGGCTTTATGGGATTCTCTCACCCAAATTTGGAATTTAGTCCCGTTGCGACGCACAGTGGACCATTCTACGAGGTAGGTAAGACTTTGGGCTTCAATTGTTGCCATAAAAAGTCGATCTACTAGAAAAAAGTTATGGGGGGTTAAAGTTAACATGTGTTTATTTCTTTGTGGGTTTGTTTGAAGTCTATAGACGCCTAAACTGATGGACCGATTTTCTTAAAATTTTCACAGAGCATTCCTGTGAGTCTGAAAGGAACTATAGGCTACTTTTTATTTCGAAATTTTAAGTAGGCGAGGTGCCACCCCCACATTCAGAATAAGAATTAAATGTTATATATATCAGAAACTACAACAGCTAGAATCCTCAAATTTTGTATGGATAACTTTGACATCCATGGCATGGGCGGTCTAGCTATAGTGGGTGTGGCACCTCCCATATAAGAAAATCTTAAATTAGTATATCTGAGCTACTTTAGTACCGACATGAATGTGTAAGGCAAAAATATGAAATAAATAAAAAATCGGTTTTCTGGGAAGCAATTAGAGCTACAATTTTCAAATATGCACGAAGAACTTTACCATCCATGTGAACATGTGGGGGAAAAACGGACGGACTTTCATTAGGGGTCTTAGCATCTCCCATATGAATTAAATGCAAAATTCGTATATTTGAGAAACTATTAGAGTTAAAATCCTATAATTTTGCACGAACAACTTTTGTATCCATGTGAATAAATTGGCGGACTAGAAATGGCGGCATGGCATCTCCCATATGAATTAAACAGAATAATTCGTTTGTCCAAACTTTGCACTATGTTTGCGTGTGCAAAAAAAAAAAGAAATAAAAAGACAAGAAAGAGTTTTTTCTATAAAAAGTTTATTTATTAAAATTATATTTATCTAAAAGATTCTCAATAGGAGTTGTGCACTTAACAATGTGGTCACAATGGCGCTCACTTAACAAGTGTTTTTAAAAACAAAGACTATGCAACTAGTTGCGAATTTAGTTATACCGTTAGCGGTTTTGCTAGTTAGAATTTATCTCTACACGTAGTATAAAGGGAATAGAAAATATGGTTTCAAATAAATTTCTAAATCGAACACACTAAAAACTTTAACGTCCATGGATCATTTTGAGAAATATAAGCGGACTTTCATTCATCAAGGAGTCCTGGATCCTCTCACATGAATAAAATACAAAACGTCGTATAACTATTTTGCTCAAATATCTTTGCATAAATGTGAATATTTGGGTAATAAATTGGCGGACTAGCAATAGGGAACTTGGCACCTCCCATATGAATTAAACACAAATTTCGAAAATAGTAGAGCTAGAATCTTCAAATTTTGAACGAAGGACTTTAACCTCTTATATGCATTAAATACAAATGAATTTGCGGACTAGCTTTAGATGTCCGGGTACCTGCCATATGAATTAAATTAAAAAAATTCGTATATCGTCACCTTAAATGCAAAAGGGCGTAACATCGCTTTTGAAAATTTTACAGGAGAGACAAAAAATTAAATAAAATGAAAACTATTGTTATCTTACATATATTACATCCCAAAACCGATAAATATGGTTGAATATAAATTTGCCGCCAGACATTGCATATTATTTGCTTTTTTTGGACTTTCTGATTTGTGAAAATGACTAATTTGTGTGTTTTTGACAATAGAATTTAAAAAAATTAAGACAACATGCATTTTGATGCAGTGGACCATTTTCAATCAATAACTAGATTTTAAATTTTTTGGTTGTTATGTCGTTTTGCATTTCATGTGAGGATATATGGGAAACTATTAAAGCTAGAATCTTAAAATTTTACACGAAAAACTTCGACATTCATTTGAACATATGAAGAAAAATAGTGGACTTTCAATGGGGGCTTGCCACCTTCTACATGTATTAAATACACAAATTCGTATATTTTGGAAACTATTAGAATATTAAAATTTTTCATATGTATATTAAATAAAAATCCAATTTGACGTTTGAAAAGAAATTGGGGAACTTGCAATAGTTGGCGAGGCATCTCCCATATGAATTAAACACATAAGATGTGTATGAAAACCATTAAAGATAGAATCTTTAGAAATAGTAAAGTGGGGGTTTTATTTATATTGTTTTTAGGGTAGCAATGCACCCTGGGTATAGTTAGTTTTAGTATAAAGTGAAGTGTTATAACATGTTATATTTTTGTTTCTGATGTAATGTATTTCTAGATTTTTGTTTAAAACTAATATTAGAAAATAATTTTTTAACTTTAATCTTGTCAGAAAATTCCAAACTTTGGGTCCCCTAAAACTTTTTTGTTCTAATATTCACAAGAGCCCAAGGTTGTTTTTTTTTAAATGACGATTTAAAATTAAATTTAAAAGGTTGGCAATGGTTTCTAAACGTAAAAGTAACGGTTCGATAAAGGAATTTTAACGATAAAGGTAATTTCGAGAGTTGTAATGAAAAAGTTGTGTGTTTGTGTTATATAATATTTTATTTTTTTCTTAATAGTTTCTATCAATCTTTATTGCAAAATAAATAATATAACATACATTTTTTTTATTAAAAACTAATTTGCATTTAGATAGAAGCTTAGTGTACTTAAAAATTATAATCAATCAAACAATTTTAGTAAATATTTTTTCTAAATAAATGGTTTTAATTTTCTAGAAGTTGTTTAGCTTATTCGTCTAATTCAAAAGAAGTATTTTTCCATATTTGTTGAATATTGGGCATGTATGGAACTGAAGTGCACAACAAAATAAAGTCTTCATTAGTGTGGAATATATATAGTTTCCCGTACTGTCGGCTTTTGGCGGTTATAATTTCCAGGTGCACTTATTTTTATATTTTAGAATTATTACCTTAGTAATTAAGAATCCATGAGGGATTGTCCCCTGCGATTTGTGTTTGTGCTACTCCAAGCTACCCCAGCAAAAAATAATTGCTGCCATATACGATTACATATTTTTCGCTTTTATTAACCAAACATTTCCTTTCAAATGAAAATCCAGTTAAAAGTGAGGACAGAGATGTAAAAAAGTCACTACAAATAACATATTCGAAGTACATCTTTGGTGAAAACCCAATAAAATTTACATAAGCATGTCATTATGTCTCTTGAACCAGTTTTATCAAATCCGACGTTGGCGGTAATGTCGGAGAATTGAAGGACAGGTAAACAGATGCAAGGTATATATTCCCACGTCCTTCCTTCAGCAATGTTGCATCCGATGTTGATAACCCTGTTGAGAATAGAAAACATAAGTTCTTATCACATAAGAAACATGTTCTCGGGAGAGACTCTGTATCAGCGTAGAAAACTTGGAAATTTACATGATTTATTCCAGAAACCTTGTTGCAAATCGTCCAAGGTTCCTGGATTTAAGCTATATGTATCTTACCTATGTTTATTTTAGCCATCAGAGCGTTGGTAGCCGTCTCGCTCCGATGGAGGATTATTTGGATAACTTCAATCATGGTTACTGTCTTCCAGCGAGTTGGTGATCACCTTCTCGCTCTTTGGACTTAATTCCTCCGGGTAGCCTGGAGTGGCTATTGATGCAGTGAGTGTTATTGATGGCACTTCAGTGACCTTATTAGGCCTAGAAATAGCAGTCTTTTAAATTAGGAATTTTAGTGTCCTTGTGGGAGCGCCTTCGCAATTTTGGAAAGCGCAGCTGTACTTTTTCGCTTTTAGGGTTTGACTCCTCAACGTTACCAGCAGCGGCCAATGATGGTGCAAGCACCGTGTGTCTATTTCGTGGCTTTTTGTAACAGCCCATCCAATCGGCGCCTTTCCAATTTTCAATACGAAAGTTTTAGAGGTGAAATAAGCCCTGTATACAGTTGACTTTTAAAGAACCGGAATCTTCTTTGCCACTCCCATCCTCCCTGGGACGGCGCTAAGTGGTCTATTGGTTTTTGACCTCTATTGGTTTTTCGACCTTTGAAGCGATTGCGTGGTGCACTATATCTTATTGTTGACTAGATATTTTAAATTACTCTGCTGGTCTATTGTAATTTTGCCTGTCGGATTACCGTCGTCTTAAAATGCATAGCAGAGATCGCCCAGTTGTTTTCTTCTGGCAGCTTTAGCGTAAGATAGCGGCACTTATCCTTTTCCTTTTCCACCGTCTAGCTTCTAATTGCACAAAATGATATTGAAATAATTGCGAAAAAAAAAGTATTCCATGGAAGTACTGAAAAAAAACCTGAAGAAGTGATGATTTTAACACAGGTTTATCAAAGGAGGGATGTCCTTTTTATTTGATTCGAAATTTACTACTTCTAAGTCATTCTCAAGAAGTATTTTTTTGCTCTTTTTTTTTGGATGTAAACAAATCACTTAGTGCTACTTTGGAAGTTGTGATAAATGTTATTCTTTTAGAAGTAGTTCGTTTTATTTTTGCTGGGATGTTATTTTAGTGACTATTCCCCATCTCTTTTTTCACTTTTAACTGGGATTTCATTTGTAAGGAATTATACTTGGTTTATGAAAGCGAATAATATGTAATCGCATTTTTTGATGTGATTAAGATGCCGTTTGTAAAGTATGACAACTATTTTTTGCTGGGATTTAGTTACCTTAACACAAAATTGAAAATGTAAAAAAGTGAGGAAAAAGAAGTTTAACATACTTCCAATATTGGTGAAAAAACTATGAATTTTACATTAGCGTGTCATTGGAGGTATTTCGATGTTAAAAATAAACAACATTCTTTCAATGAATTTCATTGGCTTTTCACCAATGATGTACTTCGGATATGTTATTTGTAGTGACTTTTGACAATCTCTTTCCTCATTTTAACTGGGTTTTCATTTGTAAGGAAATATTTGGTTTATAAAAGCGAAAAATATGTAATCGCATTTTCAGGTGTGGGATTTTTAGGTGTGATTAAGATGTCGTTTGTAAAGTATGACATCAATTATTTTTTACTGGGAAATTATGAAATTTTGACGGATTTACACATCCCTTGAACCTATTTTGACCATTTTTGGGGTCTATTTTTTCTTTCTAAAGTGGACATTATAGTCAGTGTTGCCACAACAAAATTTTTTTTCTAACCAAAATTCGAATAAAAAATAACCAAATTAAGAAAAAAGTAAACAAAATTATTTTTATTTGTTTCATGTTTACATTTGGACATTAAAATAACAAATTCATTTTCTGAAGTGGAACTATGTTAAATTTCGTCGCTAAACTGGTAGTATGAAGACAGTTATGAGCGTTAATGTAATTTTCTGTACGGGATCTTATATGAGACGTATGGTCAATTATGGACCAATTCTCATAAAATCTGACAGTGATATTTTAGTTCCTTGATTATGTTGAATTTTGTTGCTATATTGCAGTACATTATGATCTTTAAAGTCATTTTCTGAGGAGACTTTTTATGAGGGATAGAGTCAATTATATACCGATACTCATAAACTTTGACAAATACATTTCCAATAAAACTTTTTTATATTGAATTTCATCGCTATAAATGTTTTTTAAGCAATATAGTAATTTTCTGAATAGGGCATAATATGGGGGCTAGGTGAAATCGTTGACCGATATTTCGCATTTTCAATACCAATCAAACTGGGTCAATTAAAAATATTTTGGCAAAATATTTCAGTTTTCTATCTTGTTTCCTTTCGACTCTATCGTGTTTTCAACAATAAATATATGTCTCTTCGCGGATTCGTTAATAAGTGTAATTTATATTTATTTTAAAAAATAACTGAGTTTTTAACGCGTTTTAGCGCAATTCAAAAATACTCCACATATGACTTTTTGGAAAACAATTTTAAATTATAAAATTCTTCCCATTTTATGTACAGATTTGGAGATTTCGTTCGAAATTTCGGTGTAAATTATAATACCATGTAGCGGATGCATTACATGTTAGCATTACATTCATAGCAATATTTGTAAACGTAATCTATCCAAATTATCCGACAAATTGACCAAAATTTAGAATTTAAGACAGTAAAATAAAAACTAGTATACATCATCTAGAAAATGTAAATAAAGAACTAAAAGTCATGGTGAGATAGTAGAAGTTAAATATCATGAGTATCAAATCTTTGCATATACCGCGATTATTGTTCGTCGTACGAGTTTAGATGTTATTACAACTTTTGTATACAATACAATTTCATTTTCCTTAGCTGTGTTACTTAAAAATATCAGTTGATTAACACTTTAAAGATATTGTGATACTATTCTTGCATCAATTAGCGGAAAATACTTTATTAATTCTTATTAAATCATTTATCTTAGAATATCGGCAAATTAGCACAGTATCTTTAAATTTTTAATTTAATTTGGAGGACATAATCTACTAAGTACGTAGACTATTCCCACCAAATTTCATAAAAATCGAAATGCGAAATACAGCCTACTTCGTTTTTTCATATAAGTATCTCGAGTTCTTTACATAAAAAGTTCTAATAGAAATATTAACGGAATGACGGACGAGTTCGAATCGACCTAAAAAGTGATTTTAAGTTCATGGATGCACCAAAAGGAGAGAGAGGATTCATTATTCAAGGTATTAGATTGACTAGTGTAAATAAAATAATATTACGGTGTTGTTATGATTTAAATCAACTCATTTAATATGTGGAAAGTTCATAGGTACTTTTGCTAAATCCTAACCAATTAAGATATCGAAAAATAGCTTTGTGTACATAAGTATAACCAGTAGATGTACAAATTGCAGTAATAAAAAAATTTCGAATAGTAAAAAGAAAATTCCACATATTACCAAAATTCAAAACAGGACGATATGTATATTTACATAGTTGATTTAAAAGTAGAGATAAAAGAAGTTTTTTTTTTAATTTTATTTTTAGAATAAAAGCAAACAGCATTTAGTTCAATTCTTTGCAAAAAATAACCAAAATGAAAAAATAATTCACATATACACATGCAAAATAAAAATAACCAATTTTGGTTAATAATAACCAAAGTGGCAACACTGATTATAGTATACAAATAAATACACAATAAAACATAATACGGGAATCTGTGGGAATCTATTTTGAAAGTTACACTAAATGTCTGACTATCGAAAATATTTTTTATACAAATAACATATTTTCGACCACATTTTTTTTTACACTAAACTTTAATTAAATACATACATATTTGTGTTGAAACTAATACATGCCTTGCATTATTCAGTAAAAAGAAAAAAGTAAAAATCTTTTATTGTGTTTTACTACGATCTTTTTTAAGGAAATATTTGGTTTATAAAAGCTAAAAATATATAATGGCATTTTTAGATGAGTTTAAGATGTCGTTTGTAATTTGTAACATCAATTATTTTTTCTTGGGTGTATAAGCCTTGGGTGTATATACTTTTCTAAATGATTTTTGATGATTAATTTATATCACTGCGTTTTTTATATCTCATTTCAAAGACATATTTATCTTTTTCTTTTTAGACAACAATAAGAAATATAATAAGCCTGCTTTTTATAACAACTCAAAAAGAGATGATTATCAACCCAATGCTTGGGGTACTAATAATTCCCGTAGATCCGATAATGTATCAGGAAATTATAACCGGGTATTGGAAATAATATATAATTTTTAAGAAAGTGGCTAAAACAAATTTCTATATTTTTATTATCTAGGCGAGACATGAGGAAAGTGGTCGATACGATAACTACAATTCGGAGAAATTGGACAATAGACCTAGCGCAAACAATGCGCCAGATGAGAAGAAAACAAGCACAGCACCAGCTGCTGCAGCACCTAAAAAGACTACTTGGGCTTCTATTGCTTCACAACCTGCTAAGCTCACATCAAGAGTGAGTGTATTTTATTTAATTTTTGATGAGTGGTCATCTAATTTTAATTTTTTAGACTACACTTACAACTTCCAGCCACAAAAAGAAGGGTCCGGGCATGCCACCTCCACCAATGGTACCAGGAAAACACAATTTGGACGTGAATACTTGGGATTTGCCAAACAATAATCCGCCTCCTGTGCCGTCGCCTCCACCTCCTATTGATTTGGGGTCAAACGAAATCAATTCCGATTTTTCACCAGGAATAGGCTCTGATTTTGATTTGGGAAGTCGTCCTGATAATAACAGTGGTCATAATAAAGGCCAAGACGTACTTCGAGATGAAAACAATAAGCAAAATTACAACAGTAATTTTGGGCGTGTACGAAGCTCACCAAATGGTCATTCGCGCAAAAATTGGTCAACCCAACATCCCTTGTATCAGGGTGGACGACAGCCAAGCGGTGGATCTTCTTCTGGACCCATACGTCGTGGTGAGGCTCCCTCTAGCGTAGGAGAGAGTGGAATAAGCGGCGGCGGTGGAGGTAGTGGTGGTGGTAACGTCTCAAGCGCCGGTCGCTATGGGGATCGTAGGAACAATTACGCATCTTCCAGGCATGAACACGACAGTGGATCTTTTGACTACCGCGAAGAAAGCAGTACTAGAAGTGTAGAGGCAAATGACAGAGCTGCAGCCGTTGAATCACCACAAGCTGTCTTAGAGGAACTTCGAGATAAAAACAATTATAATCCGGCTGAAATTGATTTAGATCGAGCCACTTCAGCCAGGTAAAATATAACGTTATATAATAAGAAAATATTTCCTATTTTTTTATTAAATTGAAAATTACTTAAATGCAGGTTCTTTGTTATTAAGTCGTACTCGGAAGTTGATGTTCATCGCAGTATAAAGTATGAAATCTGGTGCTCAACTGATCACGGAAACAAGAGACTTGATGATGCCTTTAAAGAACGCAGCAAGGATGGAGGCAACATTCTGCTCTTTTTTTCTGTGAATGGCTCAGGCCATTTTTGCGGTATGGCTCAAATGATGACATCGGTGGATTACAACTCAACGTCAAGCGTTTGGTCGCAAGACAAATGGAGAGGCAAGTTTAAAGTTAAGTGGATATATGTAAAAGATGTGCCCAACAAAGAGCTGCGCCACATAACTCTCGAAAATAACGAAAACAAGCCTGTAACAAATTCTCGCGACACGCAGGAAGTTCCCCATGCAAAGGGCATTGAGGTGTTACAAATTCTACATACGTTTAAACATAAGACCTCCATATTTGACGACTTCTACCACTACGAAAAGAAGCAAGAAGAGGAAATGTCTTCAAAGAAACCCCCTGGTGGCTATGATGGCGGCCCCCCTACAACTATTGGTCGTAATTTCAACATGCGCCAAAACGACGATAGAGATCGCGATCGTGATCGGGAACGTGACCGTGACCGAGATGGTCGTGGTCTTGGTGGTGGCGGAGGTGTTCAAAAATATTTCGGGGATAGTTCTTCATTTCGAAGTGAGAGAAATAACTCCTATCGCGGTGGTTATAATACATATAATGATCACCGTCGTTTCGATAGTCACCGAAGTGGTGATCGTGGAGATTTTAGAGACACAGATGCCGATCGAGAGAACAATGAACAATACAATAATTTAAGCCGACACATGTCGAAATACGATTATAATCGTGGGCGAGGTGGAGACGAGCGAGCGCTGCCAAAACACAATAATCGGGAGCGGGACTTTCCGGATGAACAGCACATTAAAAGCGAGTCGTCACGTATTCGCTCTGGACCAAGAGAAACTCAAAAAGTTAGTAAAATTTAAACAATTATTTTTAACTTACCAAGTACATAAATGTTTATACAGTAGAGTGCAAACTCTGTTCAATAGTATTTTTGGGAATGTATAGACGTGAAGAAGTGGGGGACAATAAATATTCAATAGTCGCAAAACATTTAGCAAATCCGTGATATAAATATTTTTTATTAGAAATATTTTCAGCATTTTTATCTTAAACAAGTAAGAGTGTTATATTCGGTTATTTTGCATGTCTGATAGAATTATTTAAGATTTGGATCCCGAAGATATCTGGGGTCTACAGAAAACTGATTTCAACAGACAGACGGACAGACAGACAGACGGACATGGCTTAATCGACTCCGCTATCTATAAGGATTCAGAATATATGTACTTTATAGGGTCGGAAAATTATATTTTGGAAATTACAAAGGGAATGACAAACTTATATATGTATACCCTTCTCACGAAGGTGAAGGGTATAAAAAGAAAAAATGTTTAATGCAAAATTATATCTTTTATAAAAATTGCATTAATCTCTATTATTTTGTGTGATTTTCTGTTGCAAAACAAGTTTTCTTATTAATTTGGACATGCTGAATACAAATCCATCAAAATATGTATACATCGGCATTATGATCTCCGAGATGTCGCCATATTATACAAATATATATATATATATATATTGAATGTAGTCCCTCGATATGTATCAGCGATATTCATCATGAAAAACGAGCTGCTAACTACCTTGCGAAAGATAGCCAGCTCGTTGGTTAGTAGTTAGTTTTTTTATTATGAATAAGACCTATATGTTGATGAAAATGTTTACATACACTGAAAATAATCCATGCCTAATATACACGAAAAATGTTGTACATTGTACGAAATGCTTCGTGGTTTCGCACCACGAAATTCTTTCGTAATATATACGAAATTGTGCGAAATATTTTAGTAAAATGCAAAATAATTTTATATAATTTTAGAAAAAAATTTGTTCATTTTACGATTTTTTAAAGACATAAATATTTTAGTTCTTTTAAAATAATTATTGTAAATTTAGAAAAAGATTGCGAATTAAAAAAAAAAAAAAATTAAAAATTTTACAGGAAATTAGGCAGCTAATTTCCTATAAATTAAAAATTACGTTTAATTTAACTCCCTTAAAATTACGAAAATAACAAAAAAAAAAAAAATCGTAACAAAATAATTTTTTTGTGAAATCAAAAATAATTCTTGTACATATATTACTAAATAATCTTGTTACGAAAAAAATTCGTTACTTTCGTTATATATTACATGCCTTAACGAAATTATTTTTGTAAAAGAAAACAAAGTTTCTTAATATATACGAAAAAAGATATTACGACAGGTTTTCGTACTTTCGTAAAATTAGAAAAGGGGTTGATTAAACAATATTTCGTATTATACACGAAATTTTCGTATATATTACGAAAAAAGTAGTTACGAAATTTTTTTTCGTAAAGTTAAGCATGGATTATTTTCAGTGTAGATTATTGTATCTTACCATTGTGTATATTATTAATATTTAAATATATTTTATATTCCAGGACAACGAATATCCCAACTCGGACCGCATTCGGGGCACTGACTACTGATCAGTATAAAAAGATCAGCTAAATTTTATTGATAACCATAGAAGACAAACTAATACAAATAAACAGATACACATGCATTCAACACACCGATGTATTTTTAAGTACATGGACATAAGATGTTAATGGGTACGAACCAGTATGTATTGCATGCCCAACATAATCGAAAAGCAGTTCAGAGGATAATAAATTGTTGAATGCGCAATGGATTTGTGTTGTCGCTATAACTTTTATTTCATTATTTTCTAATAATTATTAATCACCACTTATAAAATAATAATAAACGGAAATCAATTTGCAGCATTATATGCCTGAAACCAACAGCAAGAAGCATCAAGTATAAACACCAATAACAAACAATATACATAAAATAAGCAACTGCTAAAGAATTTTATTATGATTACAATTCAAAAATAAAAAAATAAAAACGAAAAAGAGAAACAAAAACATGAATAATTCAAATATGCATCTTTCTAGGGATCTATTAAATGTATTTTAAATGCCGATTTTTACTCCATACCGTTGCAATTAGTAAAGCATCAAAAATCAATTTACGTTAATAAAAAACAAAAAATAAAAATATATATAAATATAAATATTATAAATAAATAAATAAACTAATTAATTAATGATTAATTATAATAACGATGATTATGATAAACAAACATTAAGAGAAAAAATAAACAAACATAAACAAAAACAAAAAAGAGAGAAACAAAACTAACGATAATATTTTTACGTAATTATTTATTAGTATATAATGATTATTCTAATTTTGATCGATTGATTAATTAATTATTAATTGAAAATATAAGAGAGAAAACAAGAAAATAATAATTTAATTATTGATAAATTTTCAAAGGTTTGCTAAAGTCATTCCTTGTAGTTGCACTGTAATAAATAAAAAAGAACATACAAAAAGATAAAAAGTAACAAAACCACACTCAGTTTAATAAAGAATCAACATTAAGAAATTATTTGCATCATATTATTGTATGTACAAGTTTAATTATGTATATTACTACATGAAGTAAATTTTCATCTTATATACCTAAAAAATAAGAAAATTAAAACAAAAAAAAAAAAAAAAAAAAAACAATATATAATTTGTATATTTCATTTCTTAACTTGCATTATTGCTAAGGCCTTATCAGCAGATCAAATAAAGAACAATTACACTCGAAAACTCATCATTCAGCTGCATTAGATGAACAAACATTTGCCAATTTTTAAATAGTTTTTCCGTTTTTCGCCCAAATGTATTCGTTATCAATCAGCTTGAATGATTTATTATGAACTTTTGAATCGAATCCGATATCATGTTATCATAGAATTAATTTTTATATATATATTATAGATACAAAATATATACACTAGAGCTGTGTAAAGAATATCGATTTTCCTTTGGACGGGTCTTATTTTGTTCGTTAGTATCAAAAGTAAATGATGTTAAAATTTAGGGCACTCATATCGGAAATCGATTAAAAGTGTAAAATTGGGTAAATAATAGGACATTTTTTTTAGATTGCTTTAAAAATATTGCTATTTAAAATTCAAACGATTTTAGTCGTGGCTTCCATATATCCGCTAAAACTGTACACTTGTTAGTTTTAGACACTAATTAAAATAATGGGTCGATTGTGGATAGCAACCAAACATTAAAATTGGTATTATGAACATACAGCAACTATGTTAGGTGCCAGAAAGTTATCGATATGTATTCTGTTATTACATAGTTATTTTGGTAGATCAGCAACTAAAAAATGTAAACAAATAATAAACAATATATAGAAAATGTAGATTAAGGTTGAATTTTTGAAAAATTTATGAAATAAATTCAGAAGTAAAGTGTACAGATATGCATTCACTAGAATTTTTCCACAATAAATCCTTTTATTTTGGCTTACAACCAGCGATGAAAATTACAAACCAACCACTCAATTAGTGATGCTTCAGCCTCGGCTGTGGTAGATATTGCGTTCTATAAAACATAATTTTGTCTCCTAGTCATGTAATAGTTTGGATTGGCGTTAAGAGAGTGTTAAAAATTCTTGTCAGTCACTTAAGTTTCATAACAATAACTTAAGTCTGGAACAATCTCATTTAATGACACGGATCCATTGAATCCACATTATTTAAGATTAAAACAAAAAAGACGAAACCCCGAGACCAAGTTAGACGTTTCTGAAATTTGAAAAAAAATCCTATTTTTGTAGCTTTTTGAGACGTTATAAGAGCGACAAGACAACTTTATAAAATATTGTGTGCCATCTGAAACATTGACGTATCTTCTTGATAAGTACCAAGGAAACTCTGCAATTCGTGGACATTTGTGGGACACGACCATTCTTTTACAGATATTCACCCCTATTCTGCATTTCGATTCGAAGCCCGTCATTAAAATAACAACTTACAAAAATGTAGTTACGATTGTAATGCAGAATACAAACAATCGTAAAGCATTGAAATAAAATGGAAATACTCCTTATTTTTCTTACGATTCCGTTTCTTGTTGGAATACCAATTTTCGATCGTAGCGTAAATGAATGCGGAAACGTAATTGAAATGTAGAATAGGGGTGATTATTTTATATTCGTTCATATATTTAACTTCCTTCTAAAACAGTGCACACTTCTTTACACTAAGTTTTAAGTAGTCCAGCCGCTGATATTCTTTTAAAGACTTCTTCAAGGTTTTTCCGGTGTTCATCAGAAGTCTTTCCCATTACAGTTATGTCGTCGAGGTATACCAAGCATGTCTTCTCATGAAGTCCTCGAATGTAGCTGGCGCATTGCAGAGTCCAAAGGGCATTACATTAAACTGTCATATACCATCACTAGCACTAAATGCTTTCTTTTCTTTGTCTGCAATTTCCAATATCCACTTTGCAAGTCTAATGTGAAGAATAATTTTGTTCCAGCTATCGTGTCCAGAGTCTTTCTTGGTGACAGTCATCATTCAGCTTTCTGTAATCGACACAGAATCTTGTCCTGCCATCCTTCTTGTTCTAAAACCACGGTCGAGTTCTAAGGACTAGAAGATGGTTACTTGGTTTAGACTTTTTAAAGCAAATACGGATGCATGTCTCTTCAGAAGTTGTTTGGCCGTATTTTTGTCTGACGGTGCTAGTTCTTGTATACATTTCCCCACTAGTAACTCGTGCTCTTTGATGGATTTATTTGCAGGCTTTTCTGCTGAAGAACATTTACCTAGTTCGGAATTTGGCTTGATGACTTTTTCATAGCTGGACAAAGAGTTCCTAACGGGAACTATTTTGTTTTTACTGGGTTTGACGAGGGCTTTAACTGTTATAAGATTTTTATTTCTGCTCGTTCTACTACCCACAAACTGTTGTCCTCACAATCTCCCTCCAGACGTGCCCACACCAAAACTTTGGATATGGAGGCAATTTTCGATGTTGAACAGCAATTTAGGGCCTTGCTCTCATATCCAACATCAATGCCTGTTTTAATTCCCTTAGCTCGGTGACATCATTTTCCTCGTTTTCAGCCACAACCTCGACATTGCATATTTGCGGCTTTGAAATTATTTTAGCCGTTTCTTGTGCCAACGCAAATGTGACACTTTCAGCGACTGATGACTATGGTGTAGCACAAACCGCATGTTTTATTTCAGAATCGGGAATGTAGCAAGCGCTCGATTCCCAATGCAAAGTTTTGTAGTGTCTCATTAGGCTCTACCACGTAATTACACTCGGTATATTTCCTTTTTATTATCGCTACCGTACTTGCGTTGTAGTGCCTCCATTATGACGTCATAATTATTTCCGTTGCTTGCTGGTACTTCTCAAGAACTACCGCAGCATTTCCTTTTAAGACCAAAATAGCTGTTTTTTCATTGTTTCACATGTTTCTTGTAGCAACTGTCTCAACATTAAATGGTGTAATGCCATCAAAACAAAGGGCCTTTATTTTATTAGAGGTTTCTGGAATATTTCGTACCGATCTTTCTTGGCATTTAAGATTGTTCACCTTTGTTTCTAAGCCAGACAACTTTTTGTCAATATGATCTACTCTGCTGTTAATAACCTCAGACACTTCTAGAACTTTTTCTTCTATGGCTAAGAAGTTTTCTGTTGTGCGCTCCTTTTTATGAAAAAAAAATTCACTGAATGTATTATTTTTCAATATTCAGAAACTCAGTTTCCTGGACGTAATTCCTAAGAATTTTCCAATCGGTGTTAGTCAGGAATGTTATTTCCGGAATAATATCACTTCCAAGAAACTTGGATCTAACTTCGACAAATGCCTGACAGTGGTAAAGAAAGTGCTCCAGAATTTCACTTTGCGGAGAGGACGCATGCTCTACATTCGTCTGAATCCGCACGTCCAATTTTGTATAGATGTGTTCGTAATCCTGTGTGTCCACTCAGAATACGTACCATCATACTAACCTCGGATTTGCTCATTTTGAAAGGATTTCTCGACTTGCTCTCATCAGGGTCACCCCTTTAATTCCCCCAGTAGTTAAGAATAATTTTAATTTAAATGAAAAAATTTCGTAAAATGTATTTCAAGAAGATGAAATCAGTTCATATTATTTTTGTAAAATGCATATTCTCGTCTGACAATCGTCCAGAACTGAGGTGATCAGCAACAGTTTTGTCATTTAAATGTTTGAAGGGTAGTTTTTCGTTAGTATAAATGGTAACATATGGGCAATTCCATACGATTGTATGTGACGTATGTACGCCTTCAGTGTGGTATAGATTTTGTAAAAATAGGAGTACTTGCTTATTCGCAGTAATTCTCATATCAACTTGAATGATGAGGTGAGTGACAATTTGTGAAAATATTTCTACACACACCACATTAGTTATATTGTCAATTTTATTAGAATTAAATGTCTCTGTCAAACAATTTCATATAAAAAGATTACTTTATAGTACATCTTCCCGTGGCTATTAAAATTCATGTTATATGAAAAAACTTCACGATATTGTCACGCACGAAATTTTTATCAAAAAAATTAGTTTTCAAAGTCGCAAATCACTACTACGACAAAAAAATTATCGTAAATTAACTAGTAACGATCCAAATGAAGAAGTTTTTTTTTGAAGAAGATTAAAGAAATTTTAAATGCAGTACATATTTTGCGACATATTTGTTTATTTTTATTTAAAAAAAGCTAGAACAGTCTAAAATTATTGATTTCTTTAAATAATACACCGTCCGACACTCAAAATTAGACACGAACCGGATGATATGCGTCTGAAACTATAAATTTAATGGAGAAAAACTGCGTTTTTAGTTTTTCATTCGTGATCCTGTGTCCTTTTTAAAGGACTTCAATGTTTTAAAAAGTATATTTTTCAAAAAATATTTTAAAATATGTACTTCTACTGATCAAACAATGCTAAATTTAATATTTTGTGTTATTTTTATTTTATTTAAAGATTAAAAAATGTCTTTCAAAATATTTATGACATTGTTTGATCAGTAGAAGTATTTTTAATTATTTTTTGAAAAATGTAATTTTTAAAATTTTGAAGTCCTTTAAAAAGGGCACAGGATCACGAAATAAAAAACTAAAAACGCAGTTTTCCTCTATTCAATTTATAGTTTCAGACGTATAACATCCATTTCGTGTCTAACGAATTTTTCTCTTTTTGTCGTACGGTGATATAAACAATATTTTTTAATGTAATGAATTTATGAGAACAATACTTATTTCTTTAATAAACATGAATTTTTAATTTTTTATATTCACAAAAAATAATTATAGATGAATTTCTTTATAATCACATTGTGGCATATATAACAAATTGTGTTTATAATCACTTTAGCGATATAGCACAGGGTATACAGAGGCGTCACGAACAAAAAACTATTTATATCTTTTATACTTTGTGGATATAGTCCTCAATTTGTGTACAATTAAGGGTTGTGACTATAAGCGAAAAGTACTGTATGTGGTT